CCAACAAACAAGCAGCGATCGTTGACCAGACGCCCACAGAGAAGGCGGACCCGCAAGTCGTAATAGACGCACATAACATCGAATTATGCTACTGCACTTCCGCAGCATGCACAGCAACGCCGAGGCCACTGCTGTTGTCGTTCAGACTGAGCGAGCGCCGCTGTGTCTCGTATCCAAATCTCGCACGCCCCGATCGCCACCGCGGATACGAAGCGTGCCCTACTAGCTGCAGACATAGCAACTAGTAGAGTTAACACAACCTCCAACACTTGTGGCTTGGCCGATTTAATGCCAAACACATTGCCTGGAGCATCCCGTATTACCTGTCCCCGCGGCCGTAAGCTAAAGCAACCGCCGATGCAAAACGGCTGCGAGATATACCGCACCCAATACGCCCACCTAGTATTCCTTAGAACGAACTGCAAGCCGATTTTACTTTAGAATATAGCCTATGCCAGGAAACTTCATTACCCTCCCTCACCTAACCACCATTTACAAAACTCTCCTCTGACCACTCCCAGTGATAGCGAATATGGCGCGGCGGATAAACCCTAATCGACTGCACCCACGACGCAGAAGAGAAGCGCACATCTGGAAGAAAAATTCACAGACGAGCTGCAGCAACGGCATACCAGACGCAGCTGGCCTGTTAGACCCGCAGCCAGATAGAAGCTGGAGCAAAAACTTCGCCGAAGCTTTGACTGACAGGCCTAAACGCAGCAGCGGAGAAGCAGCGTTCCTTCAAAAAAAGGAGCAACCATTAACCCCCTATCTTCTCATCTTATTTCTAGGGAAATAGGGGCGAGATTGAGGCAGAGCACGCGACACCCAAACTGATAAAGGCGATTGGAATCGTAAAGTTGAAATCAGACTAGCTGAATACCGCAATCAGAAATGGGCTTAAATTGTTGTCGGGGTCTCCCAAACCTGAAGATAATTCACTCGCATGCCTTACCAGGACGCCAAATAACAGTGCCGTCGCTCAGACCACACAGAGAGCTCGCAGAATCGAACGAAGCGAAAGCGCACTCCTAGCCAATGTGCTTAGAATCTCATTTCAGCCGGATGAAGGAGGCGCCGTCATTTACCGCACGTTTACAACAAGGAAGCTACACAAGTGGTTATGGCGCCTTGACGCGCTTGCCGGAAAGCGAGTTCGCTACCAGAGACTGAAGTAAAAGCGGCCATCTCGAAGCTTGAAAACTAGGAAAGCTCCTGGCACAGACCGCACGTCTAACGACGTCCTGAAGAAAGCTGCCGCCGCAGCCATAGTGTTTTACTCCCACTGTTTAATGCTTTATTATGTTTCACCATTTTCCGAGTCAGTGGGAAACGCACATATTTTGAACTTTTCACAAGCAGGGAAAAATCCGAAGAAAGCCGCAGTCGTACAGGCTCATAAGACTACTAATACCCGTCGGGAAGCATAGTGAAAAAACTAATCCAGAACAGTAATCTTAAAAATATGTTTCAGAAAATGCCCACTCTTAAACAAGAGCAGGTCGCTTTCGCGCGGACATATTCACACGCACCAGCTTGTGCCGAATCAAGACCGCCATAGATGCAACTTCATGAGCGCCGATCACGGTGAGTTGTTCCTCGATGTGCAGCGCCTATTGATAGGTCTGCACGTCGGCCTCCTCTCAATCCATTCCATGAACTTGTCCATATACCTTATACATCTGTATCCATTGCGTACCTAGCAAACAGAACGTTTTCAAAGGGACGTTTTCTGAAATGCCAAAATCCACCCGCCGCGCCGGACGGGCCGGCCGTGCCGCAAGGAGCGTTGATTGCTCCTACGCTCTTCAGCCTTTATGTGTGTGAGATCCACCCACCCTCAAACAGAGCTCGACTTGTACGCAGACGAACGGCTGTAAAGCTACGTCAACAGAGTATCGAAGCTTCTCAGGATACTTGATCAACATTTGTTACAGATCCAGGAGTTGGCTGAAACTGTGGCGGGTAAAGTCAATGTAAGAGATACAGCTGTACACTTCACACGGGACAGAGATTCATGCGGCAAGGCCACTCGCGCTATGCGAGACGCGATTAATTTGTCAAAAAAATGTCAATATTTAGGAGTTACTTTAGACAGCTCTTTGACATTCAATCTGCACATCGAAAATGTGCGACAAAGTTTTCGCGGCAGACCGGCAGACTTCGAGGCGGTGTTTCACAAGTGGAGCAAACTGTCAACGGCAAACTGCTTCACGCTTTATAAAGCAATAATTAGGCCGCAAATAGACTACGCAGCCCAAGTGGCAATTGCAAGCAACTTATCTGTAAACAAACTGCAACAGTTCAAAAACGAGTGTCTCAGGGCTGCCCTCTGCGCCCCTAGATACACTCGTATAGAAACTCTACATCGCGAATCATCAATGCCACTGCTGATAAATCATATCAGAAATATAGTTAAAAATGTCTTTGAAAAAGAAGCTGACTCGGAGAATTATCTTATTTCCGAGATCGCCTCATACCAACCTGACCAAAAGGCAAAGTATAGGCGACCGAAGCACTTCCTAGAGTAAGAGTAATCTGAAACAGAGAAATGAGTCTGAAGCATAAACGTAGTATTTCAAAACACGCAATGCGCGCGCCGGTAGGCTAAAGTCATTGTTTGAACGTCTGTTTTTCTTCATGTTGCAGGATTGACCATCGATGCCCGTAAGGGTAGGAATGGTCCCACCGCGGTGGCGTGAACGTACATTGCACTTTTCGTACGTTCACAAAACTGCACAAATGTACTGCGGCCTCTCCGCGCACTAAGACAAATCTCCTTAAAGATGTAACGGATATGATTGCATCCTTTCTCACAAATCGCACCTTCGTGGTCAAAGTGGGAAAAGCGAGATCCTTAAAGCGCGGGTCTTTGCCGGAGTCCTCCAAGGCTCCGTGCTCTCCCCTCTACTGTTCTCGCTATATGTCAATGACACCACAGATACCACGGATTAGGCTATTCCTGTATGCTGACGAAATAGCAGTTCTAGCAAGAGGAATGAACTTGGATCACAAACTGAAAACACAAAAACAGATGAATCTGACTCTGAAGTGGGCACAAAAATCCACTTGACTATCTCAGCGGAAAAATCTCAAGCAATCTGAGTCTCTCGCCGCAAACACAAACACACAAAGCGTTTCACGCCGCCCAGGCAAATGAAAATCGGAACGCAAAACCTCAAATGGGCGCCTAAGGCAACTTACCTGGGTGTCACTGTCGACCGGAGCATGCGCTGGCACTTACATGTCAGACGAATCCGCTCGAAACTTCACCTAAGTGTCTGTCTTCTAAAACCTCTCCTCAAGGAACCTTCTCTACCCTGGCACTCTATAAAACGTGCTGCCGCCCTGTGGCCACCTACGCCGCGGCGACGTGGTGGACCACAGCACAGAAGTACAAGGACACACTTGAGATAATTCAAAATAGAGTTCTGAGACTCATAGCTCGCCCTCCGTTTCGGAAACGGCTGAAAGTACCGAGGAAGGAACTTGATATCGAGTCCTTCACTCAATGCTTGAGACGGCTATCATTCAATGAAGCGTACCAAGCCTTTCAATCAGACGAAGCTCCGGCTATGCTAAAAAAATTTCAGAAACATGTTCTTACTATAGGGCGTAGGCGACAAGCTCTCCCCTCAGACATACTAAGGTCATAGAGCGAAACACAATCTAAAATGACATAGTCACAAACATGACTAAACTGGCAAACGACTAAGGTCCGTCGCGAACCTACACAAACAATTTACACCTAGTAGTAAAACGCAAAAGGCGTGTGCACTGCAATTACGATCAAGTATCCGCTGATCATCACGATCTTGATGCGATCGAATCACCACACCGACTTTCGGCTACGTCGAAAAAAAAATCCGCGCATTACGCCCTGAGGAAGGTCGCAGAATGGCGACCGAAACGTTGGCACCTTCGCCATGGACGCGGCGTCATCCAGACAGCTTAGTAAATACTAAACACCCGTTTGTAACACTACGCCCTTTGAGGCACATGAGACCCTGACGACAGATAGGCAGATAACGGGGGTGCGCGGTCAACAGACAGCACGTCGTGAAAGGTCTGAATACTAATTGTCGCAAAACTTCTACTTGCAATTCTGCGTAGTACTTAAAATTTATAATTATGGATTTCGAAAGGTTTTGAAGAAGCTGGTAAAGTTTCATGTCAACCCGAATAACCAGCACGGCGAGTGATACTGAGAAGTGGAAACGCTGTTCTCCATAAGCAATCAAATGCTTGGACGCACTTTAGTGGCAAGCTGCGTTAATACGTGTCAAATTCATCGAAATTCCCAGAACGGATGTGTGCCCTGGAAGATACGACAGAGAATGAACGCAGTTTTCGTCCTCTCTTACACTTCGGTACTGTAGCGCGTCTCGCGTCTTTCTTGGTCGTGCCACTAGATATGGCACGTTCGCGATCGTATCAAGCAGTGCTTGTATTTATTTTCATGCTAATATATTTATCTGTGTATATTATTTAAAACAGGATTTGTCCTAATAACATGTACAAACTTAATTATAATATAATAATTATAAAATCATGTTTTATTCTCTTTCAATTCTAAACCAAAGTGTAAAATAAGTTTTATAAGTGGATTGAGTGGAGTTTTGTTGGCTACATAACATCATTTGCAAAGTTTTGGTATTTTTATTGAATATCTTTGCTTGTTTTTTTCTGTACATTTTACTGCATGAAAATTCGGTCTTACATTATGACTGAAAAAATCCTGAATAGCATAGTAATAATAAACGTTCTTGATTCCTATTTGGAGATCATGCTACTTGAGTTAAAAGAGTGTACAATAAATAAAAAAATGCTTTATTATTCAATCAACGCATAACAAAATAAGCAACTTACTTTTGTCTATAAATGAAGGTCATTTAGGCCTTTCAAGCTTATTATTGTTGCTCAAAGCAACCATTCTCTGTACTAAATTAAAGAAATCTCTCCTTAAAATTTAATTTTATTGCGTGTAAAAAAGTATCTAGCTCCCACAAAAATATTGAAAACCATGTAATATTTTAAAAAGTTCATCAATCAAATTTTTCTGTAGATACATATGCATCCAATAACACAGTCTGATGTCTGGCTCTTAATAAACTTTATCTTTCAAGATGATACTTCTTTTTTCAACATAAATAAATACAATACAGCACATCTAATTAAATCCTGATCAATAACATATTCTGGCAATTAAGATAAAAATGAAAATAACATTCAACAGAGACAGAATGACAATAAATTATTTTATTCCCAAAAATGGAGCTGTACAATTAGCAGCAAAAATGCAACTGTTAAAAGCCTATTAACAAACACTCCTTTGGTCCTGTACAAAGTTTTGCCTAGTTAATAAAATATGCTAAGGAATTTGTGGTACAATTACAAATATTTTGCCGTTTTCCCTTTTCCTTGCTGTGAAGCCTTTCCACACTAGTATTAATATAGAAAGAAATTTGGAGAGGACTTCATGCTCTGCTGACTGCTCATCACTCAGATTCATTTCCTTGTTGGAGAATTAAAAAGTCCTTTAATTTTTGTTTGTGCTCCAAAGTGTAAATTTTGTGACTTTTTGTGGAGTTCCTGAACTTCTTGACTAAGTTATGCATGTGGAATACTACTGTTTATGTCAAGAGTTTTAAAAAACACTTATTTTCTGTCGAAATGCAAACAAAACTACTTAGGCAAACCACTTTAGTTTTTAAGAGTTAAATTTTCCAGTATTGTACATAATGTAAACGTATATTAAGAAAAATGAAATTAACTTATTTCACAGCCTTTTTAATAAAAAAAATCTCAGAAACTCCCAGCAGTATTTTATTGAGAGTTCTACTGCTCATAAAATAATATAAAATATGTTTACAAATTATTTTAATGTAAATTTTTTTTAACAAAACGTTAAAGTTGTGACCTAATGCGGTCAATTAGAGGAATGTAATCATTTTCCAAAAAATCGAATTCATCAAGACTCTCATTTTTCTTTTGCACTACACATTCTGATGATTGTTTACCATATTGAGCAGAATCATCCAGCAGTGCATTTTCAATTTTACAAGAACTTTTTTTATTGACAATAGAATCAACTATAAGAGATAAATCTTCAACTGGATCATCTTCTGCACAATATTCACAAATATCACAAAAAATTGAAGTGTTAAAATTTTTATCACAAGTATTTTCTTTTTTATGATTACAACTGTGAGATAACCTAAAATTTTTCAATTCAGTTGATGCACTTTCTGCATTGACATATTTCTCAGCTTTGGTCTCTAATTTCATTTCTGAGATACATTCACTAAGTCTCTTCACGGAGACTGTTTCCTTTCGCTTGATGTTCAACACCTGTGGTGATTCAATACCTCTGATGTTTGTATGTTCTCCAAGCACACAGCGCCTTTTCTGTACATCATTTGACAATGGAGATTTGAAAAACCTATTGATTTTCATCTGTTTTCCTGAAATCTTCAAATCATTTTCTATTCCTTTCAAAACAGTTTTCTTCTTGGCATCGGAAGCACAACTTTCCTTCTTCTTTGAGATTACTAGAATAAAAAAATAGAGGCAAATAATAATTCACCATTTTTGGTTTTCTTTTTATGGCTGTGCAGTAAGATAGAAAGAAATTGTAAGTATTGAACAAACCTTTCTTATTTTTAATGTTTTTTGCTGTTTCATAAGCTTCAACTAGCTCGGGGTAGGCCTTTTCGACTAAATTTTTGGGTTCTACTGTTACAATCAACATACTTGGATCTATTTGTGTTACTATACCTTCAACATCTAGCCAATTAATTTCATAACTTTCAACTCCCCGACACACTCTCTTTTTAACTATGTGTTTTGGAGAAAAAGAAAATTTCAAATTTGATTGCATATGGAAGTTCTTTTGGAGTTCCACGATCTGCCATCGTGTTATTAAAGGCAGAAACTTTTTAAGTGCATAGGCCTCAGTCCATCCAAGCAGCTTACTTGCAAATAACTGAAGCATAACAGAAACAAATACTAATTTTATCCTACAATAGTGATTCTTTTTTCCTGCATTATTTTATGGCACTCACGATGAAAGACTGAAGATCAGGTTTCTTCCACTTAGTGTCAAATTTAAAATCAGTTGTGGGCAAATCTTGAGTTAAAAATTCATCAATCATTATCTGTGATGGAAAGTCAGGGTCAAGTAATGCTCTTCGCCGGATGTTAAGTTCAGCTACAATAGTCCTAAAGCAAATAGTAAATGAATAAATGATATATTACAAAATAAAGAGAAACAAATCCAATTAAAGGAGAAAACACCCATGCTCTGATCACTTTTCAAAGCCTAATTTTACTTACGGATTTGAAAGTAGAAAAGTAGGATTTTGGTTGCAACCTTGTAACTTTCCACAAAGTTCACAGCCATTTTTTGTGTGTTTAATTTTTCTGCCACTATGACCACATATTTCACACAACACTCCTTTTGTTACCAAAGATCTTTGTTTTTCCAGGTCATCAAAATAAGAATCTGTACGCCATTTTTTTAAGCTAGCAAATATTTTAACAAAAGCATTAATTTAAAAATTCTGAAAGCATATTTATAAGTTCAATTTATTGTAATTTTATATTCAAGTTACCGATTTAAAATATCATCTTCTTTCATGCCACTCAAAAATTTTAACACTGTCTCTTTCCCAATACCAGAAACTCCTTTTTCATTATAATCACATCCACAAAGAAGAGAAATAGCAATAAGATCTTTCCGCCCCAAGGTCAACCTTTCTTCAATTACAGACATTTTATAAACATCAATACTAAACCCTGCATTACTACCACTGCTGCCACCAGAAGAACTAATTGTAAAGTTGCGATATACTGTTTGAGCTCCATAAAGAAAACAATCTCCATCCTGAGTAATACATCCATCAACATACTGAAAAGTGAAAATTATGGTGGTAAATAAGTGGATTTTCACAAAATGTAAATCTTAATGAGAGATGGGTAACCAACCTCAAGGCGATTGAGAACTGCACAAAATGCTTCTGCCTCTCCTGAACTTTTGACACATGATAATCCCATGATGTTGAGAAGCTGTTGGCACTAGAAACAATCAATTGCCATTAAAAAAAAGTTTATACTAGGTGAAGTACAATAAAAAATTACACACCTTATTCAACAGCCCTTGTAATCTGGACCGCTTCCCATTTTGCAGCGCTTCTGTCTGACTCGAATGATCCCCAAAATTTCTTGCATTTTTTCTTTTATTCATTTTATTGTATTTTATCTCTGGAGCTTGACCTTCAAGTACAAACACTGGCCGAGCTCCAAGAAAAAGAAGACAATTTGCTCGAAAAAAAAGATTCCTGTGTAGATTAATTAAACATTTGTTGTAAAATATAACAGTCACATTTATGAACTTCAGTTGCAGCTACCAATGGTCAGAATACGAAAAAAATTTATTTCTTATATTTAACATAATCAACACTACATTTCATTGCTTGTCAGGAAAGAACAGAACTTTTCATGATCTTCATGCATTTCCAATAACATATTTGATTGCTGACTCTCTATATTTTTGGGTTCTGAAGAAGTCTTATGAGACAAATTATTTAATTATAACATTGTTACTCTATGAAAATAATTTATTATACCATTGTAAGATGTGAACAACAGCTTGTTGCTGCCACCATTAATATTAATAATAATATTAAATACAGTTTAAAATTTCTTAGATTTGGTTAGAATGTTTTGGGATTTCAAGATATATATTGATTGTTAAAACTGGTCAAAATATTATTTTATTATTTTTATATCACAGATTTAATGTCATTACCAAACATTCAGAAATTATTTATGAAAACTATAACAAGTGTGAAGCTGAAGAACCCTTTCTTCATTTTAGAAACATTTTTCACCAAAGAGGTTTTGCTTGAAGAGCAAGAAACAAAGCCAGTTCTTCAATAAATAGAATTACTTATTTGAAAAATTAAACTATATAATTGTTACTATAGGTCTAAAATGCACTGATATCTTGTTTTGAACAGTAGACCTACAAGAAAAAAATGGCTAAATGCAGGTTTACCTACAATTAAATAAATAAAAGTATAAAAAATCTTATATGAGGGATAACATTATCAAAAAAATATTTCTGGATCCTAGAGACAGCATTAGTAAAATTTGCAGTAGCAGCACATCCATGGTAAAATATACAAGAACAAACCATTAACATCTAACAATCAGTGTTAAAATATGTGTAACTGAAGGATTTATTTGAAAAATATGCAGTTTGGGTCTAAGTTAGAATGATTTACAGGAATTATGAAAAAATGACTACAACAGAGTATACTTAAAAAAAAAAAAAAAGATAAAGAATGAGGATACCATATCAAGGATACTTAAAGGATTACGTCTTGTAAACCTAATTTCAGCACAAATCCTACAAACCTTAGGTACATCCTCGGTTGTGTTCTAGAATCACTGATATTTTGACTGTCACATATCCAACAACTTAGATCAATGGCTATTGTTTTATCTTGAAGTTCCCAAAGGGATTTCCTTTCGCATACTGGTGAAAGAATAGACCAAAGATCTTTCACACCCATTTTATGCGTGATTCCTGTATGTTATGTTGCACTCGGCACAAATTTTATCGCATCTGTTCATGAACTTATATGCAACTGTTAAGCGTTATTAAACAACTTATAGTCTGTATAAAGCTAGAACAAAATTCGTCAATCTCAGACCCCCAGATTTAAATTTGACAAAAGTTGACGAAATCAAATTTACATTGTACAGGATCGCAAACATTCAAAAGAAACTAACTTGTTCAAACAAATAGCAGTAGCACCAACCATATAGTAAAAGTACCAACGGTCGATAGAAACTATTTTCATAGAGGAGAGATACAATATCTTTACTCTATGACTATTTTCTGAAGCGCGCACAATGTGTGAATTTCCTTGGTATACAGTGTTATGGAGCGTTCAGGCATGGCCAAGGTGGCCGAGATTCAGGGCACTAAACGATTTTAAGGCTATTACAAATGAGCATCGCCGAAGACCGCATCGCTCCCCGAAATATACTCTTCCGCCGGTTAGCTGAGTACTACTCAGTGAGTAGCAGTATTAGCTGGCTGGATTTTGTAATTTAATGTATTTCCATGATGTGAATGTTAGAAATAGATTTCGCGAGAGATTAATTGTATTCCGCTCTTATTAATAACAAAAAATTGTACGAATTAATACAAATAATTTCGAAATGCTGTAGACAATCTGTGACTGAGTGAATTAAGCCATCAGACAGAAGAATGATTAATATACTGCCAAACGCATACGTAGGTCTTGTGAAAACTATCGTAATTCTATCGATACTTTTTTAAATTGCATGTTCAGAACTTTCAAATTAATGAATGCTGTGTAATGTTTCCCAATTTGAATAATTGATTATAATTTCTATTGATTGATCATTATGGCTAGCGATCAATTGAATGGGTGAAAACACTCCAGGATTTATAATCTGCATTGTGCAGTGTCATTCAGCAAGTTGCTGCAACTTTTACCATGCTACTACTGCTAGTAATAATAATAATAATGATGATAATAATAACTAGAACACATTTTGACATTTTATAAATTATGATTGATTACGGGTTTAGGGTGGCACGGTTCCTTTAATTCACTGATTCGGTTCATTGGAGGGGAATCGACTCCATGAACTGAATCCTGTTTACATCCAATCCAAAACCTCTCCACCGAGGAGTACCTCAGGGCTCCGTGTTAGGGCCACTGTTCTTCTTAAT